GCCACTCCCATCCAGTCACATGGGCAGCAAGCCACTCCCACAAAGGAGGCCACACCCACAGAGTAGGTTCGAACAATTTTTGAAACCCACTACTGCTCTGCTGGCTGGAAGTATAAAATCACATCCTTCCCCAGTTCCTTCTTGGGGGAACTGGGGGCGGGTTGGGAGATAACAAAACAATAAGCTAATTGCTGGCAACTTGGTTGAATTGCTACCACTGTAATTGCATTCCTCTGACAGAAAGACAAAATGACACTGGGCTTGGCTTAGCTCAACTTTACCATATTTTGGAAAATGAAGCATTTTCAGTGTTCAGTATTTGGTCCAGGAATGGATGCAATTGGCACACAAGATAAATTTGTGCAAAGGACCCCTGGCCATGGTTGCCCACCTACTCTTTTAAAAGGAGTCATTGTTTCTAAAAGAACCCCAAATTGATTAGTCATGAATGACAACAGATTTATAGCCATCATTGAATAAAACTGGACATAACAACACTTAAGCCTATTCCAAAACACTTTCAGAACGATAGATTGTTTTCCAAAAGAATGAAGTAACACATCATTAATTCATTGTTCTGGAGACATTTCATTATCTAGATAGAGTTGATATATGTGAAAGACAGAAAAGGGTTTATATATGGATGTGAGATTAAGCCACCATTGTGATATCTTCAATTCATTAATCAATGCAGCTCATCAATGCGGCTCATTTTGGACTGAAAAAGGATGTATATTTTACTCGTTTTAAAATTTAAAAACGTAAGGATTAGCTGAAAGGTATCACATAAATCCAAAAGTGTTGCAGAATCTAGAAGCTTTTAATAATGCAGCGTTTATTTCTGAATCTGCGAAGAAATTGACCTGATAAAATAACTTGACTATGTGTCTGTAAAATGCTTCTCGTACAGTTGTAAATTTTAAATTTTATAATTTTTATGCTGATTCACAGACAAAACCTTTTTCCTTGGCCTTTACCTGTTTATTTGTTGAAATTACACGAGAAGAGGATTCTGTAACTGGGAGAACTTGGCTTGAACCTTTAGTTATTGCTGTTTTGTGCTCAGAAGTCTTGGCAGGAGTCTGATTGACATATTTTTGGTTATACGTATTTCGCATGCTAGTCACTGATTTGGAAATTTCTGATTGAAGGAACATACTGGATGGTGTTCTGGAGGAGTAATTGTTTTTTGGATGGAAAACTACAAAGGAAAATGCAAATTGTATCATATAATATATTGACATGGATTCCAGAAAAATTAAACCAAAGGCAGTATATACATTATATTTACTACAGCGTCCGATAAGATCTCACAGGGTGGGCCTTCTCCGGGTGCCGTCGACTAGACAATGTCGGCTGGCGGCTCCTCGGGGGAGAGCCTTCTCTGTGGCTGCCCCGACCCTATGGAACGATCTACCCCCAGAGATCCGGACCCTCCCCACTCTCTCGGCCTTCCGAAAGTCTACTAAGACCTGGCTGTTCCTGCAGGCCTGGGGGTGTTGTACTCCTGAACGAGGGGCAGCCCCCCCCAGG